AAAGAAAAAGAAAAAATCTATTTATAATGGCATCAAAAAGAAAATACTTAGAAATGTACTTAACAAAAGAGGTATAAAACTTATGCTCTGAAAACTAAAACATTGTTGAAAGAAATTAAAGAAGACCTAAATAAATTGAAAGGTATTCCATGTTCATGGATTAGAAAACTTAACATTATTAAGATAACAATATCTCCCCAAATGATCTATTTCTATCAAAAGCAATTTCTATCAAAATCCCAGCTGGGTTGTTTGCAGAAATTTACAGGCTGATTCTAAGATTCATACGGAAATTCAACAGACCCAGAATAGCCGGAACAATCTTGAAAAGAACAACTTTGAAGGACTCATACTTCCCAATTTGAAGACTTAGTACACAGCTATAGTTATCAACACAGGCATAAAGCTAGACATGTAGATTAAGGGACTAGAATTGGAAATCCACAAATAAACCCTCATATTTATGGTCAATTGATTTTCCACAAGGGTGCCAAGACCTTTGGGAACAGAATGGTCTTTTCAACAAATGGTGTTTGGAAGAATGAAAGTGCACATACAAAAGAACGTAGTTGGACCCCTCCTTCACATCATATACAAAATTGACTCAAAGTAGATCCAAAACTTAAATGTAACAGCAAAAGCTATAAAACCCTGTAAGAAAACATTAGTATAAATCTCTGTGACCTTGAACTTGGCAACAGAATCTTGAATATGACATCATAAGCATAAGCAAAAAGGAAAAGTAGATACATTAGACTTGATCGATATTAAAACGTTTGCACTTCAAATGACAGTACCAAGAAAGCAAAGAAGACCGGGCGCGGTGGTTCACACCTGTAATCCCAGCATTTTGGGAGGCCAAGGCGGGCGAATCAAGAGGTCAAGATATCGAGACCATCCCAGCCAACATGGTGAAACCCCCGTCTCTACTAAAAATACAAAAATTAGTTGGGTGTGATGGCGCGCGCCTGTAGTCCCAGCTACTCTGGAGGCTGAGGCAGGAGAATCGCTTGAACCCGGGAGGCGGAGGTTGCAGTGAGCCAAGATCACACCACTGCACTCCATCCTGGCGGCAGCGCGAGACTCCCTCTCAAAAAAAAAGAAAAAGAAAAAGAAAACAGCGGTGGCTCACACCCGTAATCCCCACACTTTGGGAGACCGAAGTGGGCAGGGCGGATCACCTGAGGTCAGGAATTCGAGGCCAACATGATGAAAACTCCTCTGTACTAAAAATGCAAAAATTAGCCAAGCGTGGTGGCGTGCATCTGTAATCCCAGCTGAGGCTGAGGCAGGAGAAACGCTTGAACCGGGGAGGCGGAGGCTGCAGTGAGGCAAGATCATGCCATTGCACTCCAGCCTGGGCAACAGAGACTCCATCTCAGTAAGTAAGTAAGTAAGTAAGTAAGTAAGTAAGTAAGTAAATAAATAAATAAATAAATATATAAATAGCAAAGAGAAAAAGAAAGGGAGAAAAGATTTCAAATCCTGTATCCAATGAGGGACTTTTTTATTTTTATTTTTTCTTCGAGATGGAGTCTCTCTCTGTCTCTCAGGCTGGCGTAACCATGAGCCAGAAATAAACCAGCTCCACAATGACGCAAGCAGAGTTTCCAATAAATTCATCCCTGATTGGATCCAGGTGAATGCTCCTATCAGCACTGCAAAGCGTCAAAGTCTCCTTACAAGCTTTCCTGGGCAATGTCAATCAAAAACCACCAAGATACAAAGGCGCAAGAATTGACTGGAAAACGAGAGAAATAAACAAGCAAACAAAAACAAACCCAGATCCATAGAAGAGGCAGAAAGAGGAACTGCTTCCGGGGCAGGTGAATTTGACTGTTTGGAACTCAGCCTCATGCCATGCCTGCAATTTCTGCACTGGGACTATCCTGTCGGGTTTGACATGTGACTCCCTGGAGAATGTAAAAACTCCAATGCCTCACCCAACCCTACCCCACCACCCCCAAAGCCTCGAATGCACTTGCTCGGGAATTGGTTCCCACATGCAAATATGGGTAGAACCCCAGCGCTAAGCAACGTTGCAACCCCAGCCCAGGCAGCTGGCTTCAGCCCACACCGGGCCGTCTGCAGTGAGGACAGAGTCCCCTGCGATCTTTCCCCGGTCTGGAGTTTCCACGCAGTCATCGGACTGACGGTCACGCTGACCGGACTCAGTCTCGCACCCCTCCCCATGGGGTCCCCTTGGCCTTGCCGGCCCAGGTGTTGCATTTGTTAAACGGCTGCAACCACTGCGCGGCTGCAGGGAGACGGGCAATCCTCAGGCCTTTGCGAGGCTCTGCTAAGCCCGGCGACCGTCGGGGATCGGCACCCGCATGGGCTCTCCCAAGTGGCAGCTTGGAGCCAGGAAGACTAGTGCGAGGAACCCATGCCACAGAAGGCGGCGCAGGAGAGCGCGTCCACCGAGCGCCTTGAGGAAGCAGCCTCGGGGCGAACACCGGCTGCTGGGTGGACTCTCAGGGTTGCTTCCCCGCCCGCCCACCTCCCACGGCCAGCCAGCACCATGACAACCGCGGTCGCCTAGGTCCCCGCGCCGCCCACGCCCCTCAGCCCCGAGTAGGTGGAGTCCAAAGCCTGCCTGCACCCGTTGGGGGACCCAGCTACAGCGGCGTCTCGGGCTCCCCCTCACATCCACATGGTATCGGGCAGCCGGGTGAGGGCACAGAGCACAAAAGCGCAGGAGCAAAAGTTCAAAGAGCTTAAACGCTCGGTTGAGGCACCGCTGGGATTCGAACCCAGGATCTCCTGTTTACTAGACAGGCGCTTTAACCAACTAAGCCACGGCGCCGCCCGTGCAGGCACCTCGAGAAATGAGTCCTCATTACTATTTACCATATGGGCCGCGCGCACGCGCACAGACTCGGCCTGTTGTGGCGCACGCGTAGTGTGGCTCCTGAGTCACACCGGCATCTGAGACAGACCGGAAGCTCGGGCTGCAAGGAGCGGGCAGCCTGGGAAGGCGAAGCTTACTGGTTACAATGTCTTTTCCAACGTGGAGCCAGGACCCTCCGCCTTTGGGGAACGCTGGCGCAGGGCTTACGCCTCGGCAGGGCGGCAGAGCCCCTACCCACTCCGGAGAACCCCCGGCCCCGCCAGCGCGGCCGGGCTGCTGGCTCCCCTGGCGTCAAGTCGGGGCGCACACCCGCCTGGGTCCGACGGTGACCCCGGTGAGCTTCGGACCGTTCCGCCCGGGGACCTCAGCCTGAGAAGGCCGAGGCCCTGCCAGCTCCCGCAGCCATAACTTCAGTTGAGTCGCTCTTCCGGGGATCCTGAGCTGGGCAAAAGTTGAGGAGTCAGGAGGGCTCAGAGGAGGGATCGTGGGCTTCGGAGTTCCCAGGCTGCTGGCGTGGGGCACCAACACCTTATATGGAGGGGTTTCTGCTGCCAGAGCAGGCAAGGCCCTCCCCTCCCTGGTTTCTCACTTGCGCCTTCTGGGTGTCCTCACGCAACTACACCAGCCACTGGTTTCCGCACTTTCCAGAGGGCCTGTGGCAACTACGAAGCCGAACACTGCCAACCCATCCACCCAGCATCCCCGCAGCATGCACAGAAAGGTTCACCCAGCATGGTGTGCAACAGGAACCTAAGCTCCTACCTCAGCCTATTTATGGACTGATGCACGCTGTGCAAAATGCCGTGGCAGCAGGAAGAGGGTTGCATATAGGCATGGGCGTTCTGGAAATTGAGACATCTAGAGGAGAAAGCATGTGACATCACCGTGATGGCAATGCCACCGCCACCCCCTTGCCTAATCAAACGGTCCTCTGCGCCGGACAGGTGGCCATCTGGGAGCATTAGCCAGGGAGGCACCCATTGTGTCTTGCCATCTCGCCCACAGAGGGGGCTCCACACCTTGTCATACTCATTTGACAAACTGCCCAGAACTGCTGGTGCCAGCCCCCACGGGTCATCTTACAGGCAACTGCAGACTCCACAATGTGAGTCTAATGTATGTTCCAAGTATCAAATAGGATGAGCACCAAGGCATAAAGCTTAGAAATAGCAAGACTGCTTTTCAAATGCACATGCACACTTGTTTTCCAAAGGAATTAGATTTATTCTGCATGAAAACGGAAAGTCAAGTGTTCACTCCCCAAGCTGAAAGCTGAGGAGGTGGCACTGTGCTGAGAGCCCAGCCAGGGCTTGTGTCCTGCCCCAGTCTGACAGGCCTACTGAGCCTGGGAGGGGCCCAAGAGAAAGTCCCTGCAGAGCCCCAAAACCTACATGCTAGGAAGCCTGTGCTGGAGTCACTCAAAGGGGCCTGTAGCTGTCAATCATCCTGGCTTCCCCCGGGCGGCGGCGGCGGCAAGTTCTCCCTCTCCGATGACGATGATGATGAAGTCTCTGCTGGCAAGCCCCTTGTATCTATCCGGCAGAACACGCATTGGGTGAACACTTCAGAAGAGGTGTCACTCTTGAAGATGGAGAAAGGCCTGTCACATCTTTCGCACTGACATGGGATATTTTAAAAGAGCAGAAAGGAGGTGCTGGTCAGAGGGGATCCAGGCAAGCCGTTAGAATTCTCCCGCCTGATCCAGCTACTTTGAGCTGGGGCAAGGGAAGGGTTCCCCTCTCTGGAATCTCTTTTGTTTGTGTTTTTTTGGTTTTTGTTTTTTGGTTTTGCTTTTTTTTTTGAGACAGAGTCTCACTCTGTTGCCCAGGCTGGAGTGCAGTGGTGCCATCTTGGCTCACTGCAACCTCCGCCTCCCAGGTTCAAGCGCTTTTCCTGCCTCAGCTAACCCGAGTAGCTGGGATTACAGTCATGCACCACCACATCCAGCTAATTTTTGTATTTTTAGTAGAGATGGGGTTTCTGCATGTTGGCCAGGCTGGTCTCGAACTCCTGGCCTCAAGTGATCCACCCACCTCGGCTGCCCAAAGTGCTGGGATTACAGGCGTGAGCCACCGGGCGCAGCGCCTTTCTGGAATCTCTAACCCCACAAAGGCAGAAATTGCAGAGAGAGAATGAGCACAGGCTTCTTCCCCACCAATGGCTAAGCAGGTCCTGCCAGCTCATGTCTCCTGCCATGGGGGCCCTGAGGACATGCGTGGCAAGCCCCTTGACAGTCGGGAGGATGGGGGTGAACCAGCCCCATCCATGGTTCTGTGCAGAGTAAAATTGTGGGACTGAGAGGATTACTCCCTGACATCCTGAGAACACCCAACTTTTACAGAACCATGAGACTAAAGTAGGCAAGATTTCTGAACAAAGCAGGGGTGTGAAGTAGATTGACGCAGGTGCTAGGCGCCCTCCTGCGTCCGTGAGCCTGTTTCTGGTCAAAGCTCACAGAGAACACTGGAAACAAATGGCACAACTCACCCACCATGTCTGCTTCCCACTAACAAGCAAGAATCCCATGGGATGGGGTCTCCCAGGCTATGGGCAGAGGCCCCTCAGGGGTTCCCGCCATGCATGGTCCCCTGGAGAAGAGCCTGCAAGGTAGCACGCCCCTGCTCTGGCTTTCCCAGCCCCTAGGCTTTGCTGTCTTGCCCGCTCCAGGACACTGAGGCCTGCTGGAGAGAGGGTAAACCCCACCTGGGGCAGGCCTCGGGGCAGCCTGGCCTCTGAGGCTTCTCATGTTGATTGATTCAGAGCCAGTCAAATGCAGCAGGTTCATCCTTGCTTCAGCTTCAGGTAGGCCTCTTTCTTTTCCTTTTTTTGCAAGAAATAAATTAGATCCCAGTTCGGGCGCGGATAGCTCACGTCTGTAGTCCCAGCACTTTGGGAGGCTGAGGTGGGTGGATCACTTGAGCTCAGGAGATCGAGACCAGCCTGGCCAACATGGTGAAACCCCGTCTCCAATAAAAACACAAAACAATTAGCCGGGCGTAGTGGCGGGCGCCTGTAGTCCCAGCTACTCAGGAGGCTGAGTCAGGAGAATCGCTTGAACCTGGAAGGCGGAGGTTGCAGTGAGACGAGATCGCGCGACTGCACTCCGGCCTGGGTGACAGAGCTAGACTCCCTCTCGAAAAAGAAATAGAGAAAAAGAAAAAAGAAATTTGATCCTTTACCTGCCTTATCCTACATTCCTACATCCCACGGTCCAACCCCAGAACAGCAGGGCTGACAGAGGAGGTGGCTCCCAGGCCCTGCCCTAGGTGGCCGGTGAAAGACAAGGGCCATCACTGCTCTGTAGCAAGCCAGCTTTCGGGGTTTAATGGCCAACATAGCCACAGGGACAAGGTCTGTTTGAGTCCCACCCCTCATACTCCTGCCTTGCTGTGCGGCTCCCAAATTAGCCATTCCCAGAAGCCGCGGCTCCCAGCCAAACCTGAAAGGAGGTCAAGTCTAGGTGGCTCCAGGATTCCCAGGGAAGGGCAGGGGTGTGAAGTAGATTGACGCAGGTGCTAGGCGCCCTCCTGCGTCCGTGAGCCTGTTTCTGGTCAAAGCTCACAGAGACATAACTTCAGTTGAGTCGCTTCTTCCGGGGATCCTGAGCTGGGCAAAAGTTGAGGAGTCAGGAGGGCTCAGAGGAGGGATCGTGGGCTTCGGAGGCAGGATAATCCCTGGAACCTGGGATGGTAGGTGGAAGTTGCAGTGGTCAGCGATTTCGGCCACTGCACTCCCAGCCTGGCGACAGAGCGAGCTCTGTCTCAAAAAAAAAAAAAAGAAAGACCTCCCAGCAAGAGAACAGCAATGCAGAGCCTGAGAGGGCGGAGCAGCCTGGTGTGTCGGAGGGATGAGTGGGGCGTGGGGAGGGAATGAAGCCCGCAGGGACTGGTCAGTGGAAGAATGGCCAGGTACACAGCTGGGGACTTGCGTGAGGCTCCTGACCGGAGGGAAAGTCCCGTGCCCTCACTTCACATGTCAAGAGGCTCAGGTGACCCAGCGTTCTCTAGTTGCAAGAGTGGTGTCCGGGCCGGCATAATTCTTGGCTTCCACCAGCCCAGCCGGCTGGGCCACGAGGGCTGTCCTTGGGGCAGTGGAGGCAACTCCCATGAAGGCCTTCTCTGTGCACACAACCTGGTGCTGCCTTTGGAGTGGGGGTGGCCCGCTGAGTCCTTCCCCTTGGGATCCTGGGCCAGCTAGTACTTTGAACCTCCTTCCAGTTTGGCTGGGAGCGCGGCTTCTGGAATGGCTAATTTGGAAGCCGCACAGCAGGCAGGGGTATGAGGTGGGACTCAACCAGACCTTTCCCTGTGGCTATGTGCCATAAACCCGAAAGCTGGCTGCTTACGGCATGATGGCCCTTGTCTTTCACCGCCAACTGGGCAGGCCTGGGAGCCACCTTCCTTCTGGCCAGCCTTGCTGTTTGGGGGTTGGGGAT